TGGGAAAGGCTGTGGGGTGGCTCCTGGTGTCACTGCAGATGTCACAGCGTCCCTGTTGAGGTGGACTTGACTGGTGCATGAGGGCCATGAGATCAGATCCCTGCAGATCTGCTGGGAGCAGGCGGGTGGGTGAGCAGCTGTAGCCAGCTGTGACTGCTCCAGACTCAGGCAATATTTACATTTCCATCTTTTCCTCTGATGGCTTTAAAATGCCCTCTATTATCTACCTTCTGTTGATACTTTTTTTACTTTGAATCCTTTAAAATACCTTTTCTAGTGCTCATGGTTAGTCCCCCCATCACTCATTTGTTGTTCTGATTGGGTTCATCTTTCCTCCTCAGCTTACAGCTTCGATCTGTCCCTCCCCTTGTTTTAAAGTCTTAACCTCTTCTTAGCTGATATTTTATAAACTCAGAGCTCCYAAGAGGTCTCGCTGWCAGTTAAAATGAAATGGAGAGGAACATTTCCAAAAAGGCTCCGAGTCTTCCTTTCCCAGACYGCTCCTTGTGGAAGCTCTTGGCTTGGTTTGGTTGGTTTCCTTGTCTCGTTTCATTTTATATCTTCATCTGACATGGAGGCATCTTTCATCGCTGCCTTGGCCCTAAAAAGGCAAAACACCGTGGATGTCACTGGCTGCCCACAATTAGAGCTGATGGCTTCATTATCCAGATTTTTCCAAAGCCTCGCTGCCCCACTGAGCTGTGGATATCCCAGCGTGCCGATTATTACAAATATTTYCTGTCTGGATGGGGGAAAAGCCTTGTGGTGAGGGCTTAACCAACTGCTAGAAGTCATGGAYGAGCTGTGCAGCCACCAAAATGATTTTCTTAACGTTGTATTTAATGCTCAGTCTGCACAGCTTGGGGGTTTTGGGCTGGTTTTCTGGATGGCATTGGATGAGCTATTTCAATTCCTCAGCCTCAGGGTTTACTCCTGGTTGTGAGAGTACCAATGGTGAGCATCTCTGTGAGGATTTTGGCTGGTTCTGATCTCCCTGGGCAGGGCACAGATGTTTGAGTGCTCAGGTCTCAGATTTATCCTTTGGCTGTGAGGAGTCACGAGGAACTGACCTCGCTTCCACAAAAACACTTCAAATGTTTGCAGTTTGTAAGTTTTCTGTAAACTTCCAGCACTTGAGGAACTGGAAGAGCGTGGTTAATTGCAGGATGTGCTGACAAGTGCCTGTGATGCCGTTTGTGCCTGGAGAATAGGTGGGAAGCAGAGTGTGAAAGCGCTGTTAATTTTGGGCAGGATGCACGGGGCTTTCTGCTCTTTGCGCTGCTCTCAAAATGCTTTTGATTACACACAAATCTTGTGCATGCACTGAGGAGAGTGAGGCAAAGCTGCTTGATTATTTCAGAGACTCACTCAAAATATTTTCTTCCTTTCAGAGACTTGAAGATAGAAAATCTGCTGCTGGATGAAGACAACAATATCAAGCTTATTGGTATGAAACTGCTTTGGCAATACCAGTAATTAAAATTGTTCGTTTTGTAAAGAGAGTTTTTGAGGCTACATAATCCTCCATGTGACAACTGCTAATGTTGCTGCAGAGAGRAGCTGGGAGGGTATAGATAGCAATCAAGCTGTTCCCGACAGCACCTTGTGGAAAAAATGATCCGAATAATTCAGCTTTAACCGGCTACGGGAATAATCCCACATCTCAAACCCACATCTTTCGCGTTCAGATCGGGAGCTTGGTGAAGGATTTAGGAACTGACAGCATAGAAGTGGTTTATTTTATTGCCACGATGGTTTCATATTTGCTGGGGGCTGGGTGCTGCCCCCGTGAGCATATGCTACCACTGAAGTCCGTGGGAGTCGCACACATTTTTAGCAGCTGGCAAAATGAGGCCCTGTATTTATAGTTGTTAAATTTGCTTCCAGCACCCAGGACAAAATTGGTTTAGAGGGCTGTTAAAAAATAAAAAAGATCAACGGTTGAGCCTTGACTGTATTTAGGTATTGGCTGTGTGTGGTGCTCGATTCATTCAAGCTGTGCAGGCGTTTTGGATTAATCACTGGTGGGTATAGCCTCTCGAAGCCTTGCATAACTCCATTAATGCTCGTGTGGGCATTGGAAGGAAAATATTCCTTTCATAAAATAAATGCCAAACATCTGTTTATGTTCCTTTCCATGCCTTCACTTTTGCCAGCGGCAGTATCTGTGGTTGCAGACTTCAAAACTCAACTGACTTTGTTCAGAAAGTTTTGTGGGCTGAGAAGTTCTGAGCACCACTTAAAATTAGTCCTTCCCAGGAAGGTTCTCCAAGAGTGAAGAACGTGTTTTGAGGAATTTTGTGCTGCTTTTCACGATTGGGAGAAGAGACTTTGAGCTACAAATCCTGCTGTTCACTGCTGTGCAGAGAGAGCTTGCTCTCCACCTCTGGTGCAGCAGCAAGCACAGTAGCAGCTAATAAAAATATAAATGCTCCTGTAATAGCTGTGAAAGGAAGAACAGAAGGTGAAATGAATGAAAATGTGGCATTGCAGTCCYTGCTTGTCCACGAATTTCACTGAGAGCTGGATGCCTCAAGCCCCTTGCTCCACCCAGCTGCTCTAGGGCACCTTGACTTTGTTCCTTTTTTTGGCTACATGACAAGGTGCTTTAGAACCTGCTCTTAGATACTCTTCTTGGAAAAAATCCCTTTAGGAGGGCTGATTCTCAGCAGGCTGTTAATCAAATTGAAGAACAYTGGGATTGGAACTGTTGGAAATAATTGACTCCTCGTTATCCACCAGCCCGTGAGGTCGGTGTCTGATGAGGACARCGGGAAAAGCTGCTCATGGACCACGCAAAGTTCTTGGAGTTCTGCTGGTCCAGCCTGTCCAGGGGCTTGTGCTGAGCAGCTCTGTGGCTGCCCTGGCCAGCAGAGCTCCGGATTTCTGGAGGTGTTGGGGAGGCTGCGATGGCACTGCAGGAGCAKGAGCTGGGGGTGGAGCAGCTCCCGTGTCAAAACATTTACTGTGCCAAAYCCAGAGTGGCCTCTGATCTGAATTCTGTCATTCTCTGGGCTTCTTGAAAGGCARGTGGTGGCAGCGAGGTTATCAGTGCTGGAGGTTCCTGTCAGGATCAGCAGTGCATCCATAATAAAAATAATAAAAGTAATAAAAATAATAAAATTCACACTGTGATCACGAAGTGCTGGCATGGTGTTAATAACAATATTCTCATTTCCATAGCTGTGAAATCCCTGTCCCCAKGATGCATCTGTTTGCATACACCGTGCATTTCAGTGGGGGGGAAAAAAGGCAGAACAGCTGAAGTGAATGAGCTGAAGGAAGTGAATAAAGGATTTATAATTGAGGCAAAGAAGAGAATGAGACCCTCTCCTGGGGCATCCTTGCACCGGTGCTGATGCAGGGATGCTGACTGACACCATCCCAGAATGCAGCCCTGGCACCCTGTGATTGCAGAACGCTGTGGTGCTGCAGTCAGGTGATGTGGAGCTGCCATGGCACGGTGCAGGCCAGGGATAATGCTGTGGGGAGATGTTATTCCAGGAGTTTTTTAAGTGTTTTACAGCTGACAGAGCTCATCTCAGGCCACAGCTAATGAATGCGTTAATTAAGTTAATGGATCCTCTGCAGTGCTGGTGAAAGCCCTGGGGATGGCCCCTCTCCAGCAGGGATGATTAAGCAGCGTCCAGAGATGATTGTTTTGGAAACTGTCTCCATTCTGCCCTCAGCTTTGACAGTGCTCTCCAGGAAAGCCCCTGGAGCCTCTTTAGCTGTGAAAGGTGTGATTCCTGTGCCCCCCGTGCCTGCCTGGCTCTCAAAGATGCAGCCAGTTGAGTGCAAACACTGTGCCATCGTTTGTGCACCCAGGCTCGTGCAGTTGCTGTGAGAATTGCTTTTTTTCCTAAGCATTATCATATTTTTGCTTGTTTTTTTGTGGGAACAAGGCTGATGTGTCTGCCCTGTCAGGTGCTTCCAATACCCTGAGGAACTCCTGTCTGATCTCAGCCAAATTTGATTTTCAGTGGGGTGAAAGCTAAAGGACAGGCCAGCACTGCAAGTCCAGTGCCAATAAGGAAAAGAGCCCACAAATTAATAGACTGAGAGAGGGTATTGGGGAATGAATCAGTGTCAGTGCTCTTAATAGGGATGGTTTTTGGGGATTCACAGAATATTCTGGGTTGGAGGGGACCCACAAGGATGATGGAGTCCAGCTCTCAATGGGATCTCAGCCTGGGACAAGCTCAGCTCTGGTTGATGCCATCCAGTTCCCGGTGAAATGGGTTTGCTTTATGTGTGAAATGGATAATTGTGCACATTCTAGGACTCTTTATTGTTTGTGGAAATCTCTGGTTATTTAACACCTTGTAGATGCAAATTACATCAAAGTTTTGCGTGCGGATGACTTTTTTTTTTCCTCCTTAGGGAGTTCACTGCTTAGCTTTTGGAAAAAAAAATGTTCTTGCTTTTTAACTTGTGCCCTAGCACAGTTTGACTGTGTCTCTCTTTTCAYAGACTTTGGATTGAGCAACTGTGCAGGAATCTTGGGTTATTCTGATCCCTTCAGCACCCAGTGTGGGAGCCCAGCATATGCAGCCCCTGAACTTCTGGCGAGGAAGAAGTACGGGCCCAAAATAGACGTCTGGTCCATGTGAGTTCCTTCTCGCCTTGATCATCATTATTGCAGCTCCAGGGACAGCTCCAGGTGGCTCAGAGCCCCATCCAGCCTGGCCTGAAATCTTCTCAGAGATGGGGCATCGACCCTGTAGTGACTGTGAGACATTAAAGATTAATTTTCCCTATCCCCACTCATTTTGGTGTCTTTTTCTCTGTGTTTTCTTGCAGAGGGGTGAACATGTACGCCATGCTGACTGGGACACTGCCCTTCACTGTGGAGCCCTTCAGCTTGAGAGCCTTGTACCAAAAGATGGTGGACAAAGAAATGAACCCCTTTCCCACGCAGCTGTCCTCAGGTAACCCAGGGAGGGTGCTGGGGTGTTCAGATCCATTGGATCAAAGCTGTTACATGAAATTAGGGATTTTGAGTCGTGCTGCTGTGATGCTGTACTCATTGGGGAAAATTCCTTTTTTTCACTTTGGCTTCCAAAGCCCTTGCAGGAGTTGCTRCTATAGAATTCTTTTTGCTGTGGCTTCTGGAGAGGCACTGAGTTGTGCTGATTATGAGAGAAGGAAGGAACAAATCTGGGAAATTCTGGGAAATTTCGTAGAGTAGTTGGTCGGTTTTGCTCATCCAGAAGATTTTAGCATAGRGTGAGGATGAATGAACAGATTATTTTGGAATAACAATAATAATAATGGCTAACGGGGTATTGTTATGACTGGGGTTGAGTGATGAAGTGCCTCAAATGACCTCACATTTATTATGGAATAATGACATGCACTCAGGAAGGTATTTTGGGTCAGTGACCTGGGATAGCTTTTGCCTGTTCACAAAATGCAAAGTAGTTGATGTATCAATATTAGAAATATTAATTCCTGCTTCAGAGCCACGTCACTAGGCAACAGAAWCACTTCCCAGCTTGTAGCAAGGCCACTGTCAGCGTTTGGAACGAGCTCTGCTCCGTTGCTGGGGTTTATTTTTTTGTGCCAAATTTGTTGTTTGTGGAGAGCTTCCGTCTTCTTCCCTGGCAGCCTGTTTGCAAAGGGCATTTGGTGAAATTAGAAGATTTCAAATGCAAAAGGGGATTGGAARCCATTGTTACAGGGTGTGAGGGAAAGCCCTTGGGGGTTGTGTCACCAGGTGAATTCTCCAAGGGCAGGTTTAGGGTTTCACCTCCCAGACCCTGAGCAGCAGAAAACATTATTTTTTCAGGCCTCTTTTTTCTGTTTCACTCTTCCTGCCATTTTGTGATGGAGATGAGATRTTCTCTCTGTGGCATCCATAGCTCACCTGGCACCATGGTCCCAGGGAAGGCAGGATTTCATTCATCCTGTGTTGTCTTTCAATATTTAATTTCACGGTTTCTGAGCACGCAGTCCCATCACACAGGTAGCCAATCTCATCACCAAGCAGGAAAACACTTCATTTGTGTGACCTAAAACGTGGGTGACTGTGAGCACCAAAAGCATCCTGGGTAGCAACAGGAAAATTCTGGAATTGCTGTTTGATTTTCCCCCTTGGGAACCGGCTTTTCATTATGCTGCTTGACCAACACAGCTATCTGGTTATTGATTTAGGCGAGCAGAGGTCAGGTGCTCAGGAAGTTGGTGTTCACCCTGCATGTGTTCCTTTCCCTGCATTGTTTTGTTGTCCCACAGCTGTGTGGCTTAGCTGGAAAAGCTCCTGAGCTCAGCTCAGCCAAGGTGCTGTGCTCTGGGAACCTCTGGGGGGAATCTTCACTCCAGAATTAGTTTATTCCAGTCTGAATCTGTTCATCTGTGGCATTTCACAAGCTTTATTTAATTAGTTTTCCTTTTGGCAAGGGTGGGAGTGATGGAGAAGTAGTGTTTTTAAGGAGACTTTGGGTGGTTTGGGGTCCGGGCATGGTGGTGATGGAGGAGGAGGGTGTGGTTTTGGGGAGGGGGATTTCTCTCCTCTGAACCCATGGATGTGAGAGAGAGCTGGGGGAGGCACTGGAGCGAGAGGAGATGCCATGGGAGAACAAGGGGTCTGTTGTTTGGCGTGATGGGGGTGATCAGAGGGCACGCCAGSCTTCCAGCAAGTTTGGGAGCTCGGATGGGGGCTCTTCCAGCTGCTCCTGCAGCGTGGCTGCTGTGAAATTACAACAGAAATGCTGGGGAATGTCTGACTGAAGTGTCTCAAAGTCAGTGGTTTGTGAAAGAGAGAGGTTAGAAAAATCCCAGCTGGTGCCTGGCTGAGCTGGTAAACACAGAGGGATGTCTCTCTTGACACAGAGAGGGCTCTTCCTCCAGCTGGAGCCTGATTTCTGCAGGATGTTGTGCACTGAGGTTGCTCATGCTGTTGGGAATTGGCATCTGTTGGGTCCAACCCTGATTTATTTCAGTGAGAGCCCTCCCTTCCTCATCCTTCACCCTCCCCTGGTGCTCCATCCCATCCCATCCCATCCCATCCCATCCCATCCCATCCCATCCCATCCCATCCCATCCCATCCCATCCCATCCCATCCCATCCCATCCCCTTGCCAGCAGGTGTTTTGTTCTCCTTGAACTGCACATAGGAGCAGTTCTAGCCTTGGTAATTTAAAGGAATAAAGACCAGACCTCATTAAAACAGAGCTCATCTTTAGCTCAGAGAGGCCCTTCTTGTGAATTTTTGGGCATATCACTCGATTTTGTTGCTCTGAGTCATGCCAGAAGCACGTGCCTTAGAAATTGAGGATTTTTGCAAGAAACTCAGGAGTGGCTGAATGTCACTGAAGGTTGGAAGTTCAGGAGAACAAAGCACAGCCTGTTAATTTTGCTGTACTCTTTTAATTTGGCTGAACCCTTCTGCAGCTGATTGCAGGCTGGATGGGAGCCAGGGGAGAGTTTATCCTTACAATGGCAAAGGGAGCCCAATTGGCTGTGTCTTCCTTTCCGGGTCTGCATCCCTTCCCTCCCCTTCTCTCTGCCCTGCTCCATCTCCTTCTGCTTTCAGCACCATGATTTGTCTCTGACCCAGCTCYAGCCTCTTGCCCTCATGTGGAAATTAAATGTTGCCTCACCTGCTCTGAAACTTCAGSCGAGCTCTGAGACAAAAAGCGCTTTTTCCCCTCTCCTTTATGACTCTATAAATCACCGTGGCTGTAAATCATTGTTTATTTTAGTTATCAATCCCTTATCGGTTCTCCCATTTTCTCAAGGATGTTGGAGCACGGGGTGAGGACAGTGTCCCTTGTCAGTGTGCTCTTGTTCAGGCTGCAAGAAGCCCGTCTCCTGTGCATCCTAAAGCAGGTGACAGAGCTGCTCTTTGGGGTTTTCCCTCGGTCTCTTCACAGCGGCCATAACCTTCCTGCGCTCTCTGCTGGAGCCGGACCCTGCCAAGAGACCCAACATCCAGCAGGCCCTGGCGAACAGATGGCTCAACGAGAACTACCCGGGGAGGGCACCGCCCAACGTCACCTACCCCAACAGGTACAGCGGGGAGGGTGACAAAACCCACCACAGTGTCTGTGCGTGGGGTCTGTGAACAGTTCCTCTCGTGGGACACATCCCAGGTGTTGCTTTTGTGATTGTAAAGATTGTTGGGATTGTGTTGCTTGCCCTGTCAAAAACAATGCCTTGAATTGGCAGTTCTGATATACAGTGCATTATTTGTGGGGTGGCTGGGRTGCAGATTTATTGAGATTTATTGGCTGCAGGTCTGGGAATAGGGGTATGACAGGCAGCTCTGATTTCCTCCTTCTGCTTTTGGTCAGTAAAAGCCAAGCTGCTTCTCCAGGAGAGCCCCTGCCTGTCGGTGAGGTGCTGTGGTTTAAGGGAATATGCAAATGTGGTGAGAAAGGTCTGAGTTAAAGGGTGTTGCTTTGTTGGTTGTTGGTTTTGGACACCTGCACCTTGAASACGTGACTGAAAGCAGGCAGAGGACAAATCCCATGGAACATCCATCCAGGGAGGAGGAAATGGAAGGGAAAGGTACTCGAGGTCCAGTTTGCTTATAAATAAATCCTGCTCGAYTTCAAACATCTGCAGTGTGGAGCTGCAGTCAGTGGAGAGAAATAAGGGCACTTTTTACATAACAATTCATCTGACTTCTCTCTGATGCTGCCTCAGGGTGACTTTTGTGCCCTGGAGATACGAGTTCCTCTCCAGTCCCTGTAAATGAAGCCTCAGGCAAATCACTTGGAATTACATGTCTGTGTTTGATCAGATAAAACCTCCTTCCTGCATCAAAGCCCTCCAGCTGTGTCTGCACAGGCCGAGCAGCGCTGGGGCAAAGTCAGCAACTCAAAGCCTGATTGTGGTGCTTAAAATTTGACAGTGCTTCAAAATATCCATCCAGAATTGGCTACGAGGAGAGTCCCTAAGTGAGGATCATCACCTCACCCTTCAGTTGCCAGGAACCAGATGG